CAAATCCTTGAGTAGGTTCGGTAAATAAAGACAAACGTTCCCTTCGGATAACAAGTCTAATAACCCAAAACATGTTAAGGCGAGTCGAAAATGTTTTAATGGTGTCCATTGATTGGACAGCCTACCAGGTTAACAATAAACACTATGTCTTTTTAACTAGTTGAAAAATAGAGCGTAAGCCGAGCAGTCAAGACCAAGTCTGCGATAGCAATCATTCAGAATGTGTTTTGTTCAGTCAAAGCCGAGTTACCTAGACGTAACGCAAAGGCATACTTTCTACAACATAACGCTGGATGTTATCAGCTTTGCAACAATCTTCGATTTCCTGTACTTTCGCAGTCTATGGGAGTTAAAACCATGCGCATTGATTCAGTGGCCTAATATCGTACCCTGATCTCACTCTGTTTTACCCTTGGCCGTGGGAGATCTGGGTACGAGATTATCAGTGGCCCAAAGGTTGATTATAGGGAGCCAGGAGCCTATCAATGATGGGCTCCTGAGGGAGCTAATTGCAGATTGCCTTGGACCGGCCCTTGGACCCACATTTGAAACTCACGTTAACAGTTTCATGAATAAAGGCCATGTTGTCAAAAATGCTACTAAATTACCAGCGCTCTAGTTTCACCCGGAGAAATTGCGGTTGTGTACTTACCATGTAGTCTGCGAGCAAGTTCTCCCTTTAGGGAAGTCGCGAGAAGCCGCGTGAGAACAGCACGCAAAATAACACGCTAGTGTAAGGGGCGGGGAAAGAGAGAACTAATTTTTTTCCTCGCACAGCATAGATCTTCCCAATTTCTTTAAGCACCTTGTCTCTAAAAGTGCGGCAAAAATTCATGGCGGGTCAGCCAGGAGCTCGATTGATATCGATTGCTGACGATTGTTGTCGACAACATCGTCTCTGTAGAATAGTCCGTATTGAACATAGCCAGCGTAGCAGGCGCTCGAAAGTATTTGGAAAGTGTGGAAAGACACGCTTATCTCTCTCGCGCACACCGTTCTTCGTTTAGCCCACTATTTCCAAGCGCCTGCTATGCGGGCTATGTTGACTATCAATGAATAGTACCTTGCCACATGATGATTCCGACTTCCTGATATGTTCATTTTTACTTAAGTAAATCTATCGTATCTTGCATAGTTTGTCAATAGTTTATTGGGGCATTTTGGAAAATAGTTCTTGAAGCCTTTTGGACTTGACCAGCCAGAAGCATTTTTACTTCCGAGTTTAGAATTAAGGGTCACCCGACACGCGCGATTCTCAGTTGCTCGTTTTTCAGGATTTTTTTTCCTTTTATATTTTTCGATGGAAAATTTCGCCTTTTTAGCTATTCTGATAGCAATAGCTATTTAGATACCGAAATTTCCATCATTTCTTTGCGCTTTGGTGGGCTGGAAATAACTTTGGTGTGATTTTCTCCTTTGTTTACACGGTTTTCGCTTTGTTTACATTTCACGTTCTTGTCGCTTACCGTGGCCCCGAGGGGCTATATTTAATTTCTTCTTTTTTTCGCAAGAGTTTGTACCAGAATCGACTTATTGCCTTTAAAATTGGGCGTCATTTCGACCGCCAAAACAGCACACCATCAAGGTACAAACAATGAACGCCCAAAACTGTTACAAAAGTTATTTTGCGAGACATTTTTACGCAGTGTTAAAGCTTTAGGTAACTGATAAATGCATGTGCAATATCAAGTCAATAGCAGCTATTGCGCGCTTGTACTGTTTCCCTGAAAATTGTTGAAATTTGCAGTAATTTCGCGAATAAAAAAATGTATTTTTATCGAATTTTCGAACTTTTCCAAATTTCTCAAAATGTAAAGCGCTTGAGGGAAGTCATTTTGTAAGACGCCGCTGACATATCGATGACTCATCTGGTTTAGGTCGATGTTATCTAGTGCTTTCCCGGAAAGCACTAGATACCCGGGGGGGGGGGGCCCTTTAGGAATTTCTGGGTAGGGATGTGCCGCTGGGAGCCTGGAACCCTTAACCTTTACCAGAGCTAGTTCAGCTGAATTTTGCTACCCTATACTAGAGTAAACTCCCCAAATCCCCCTATCCTA